GGGAAAGAGGCTGCCTCTGAGGAGTGGGCCAGGAGTAGAGAGAAAGGACAGTTGCTTCTCTCCGTAGGCCTTTTGTGCCACATATTTTACATCCATTACTTTAATAAACATTTTAAATATTTTTAAAAATACCATATAGAAAATGTGGACGACAGGAAGAGAGGCTGTCCCACAGTCTCCTTGATCCCCAGCTGGTATCCAGCGTTTCTCCCCTCGCTCCCCTGGATGTCTGTCCTCTAGGTGGCAATCAGCACTTTAGTTAATACCACTCCTGTTCATACCTTTCGACTCTGAAAACGGCTGGGAAGCTGTGCTTTGAGTCCAATGATTCCTCCGAAGCCACATGCAGCCGGGACACTCTCCGCTCACTCTCCCTCACAGGGCGGTCACCTAGGGTGGAGGTGCTGCAGAGGAAGCAGCAGGCCACGAGGCAGGTGGCAGGGCCCAAAACCAAACCCCGCGGTGTGCCTGCCGGCCTCCCCTCAGGACTAAAGGTGCCCCCTCGCCCAGCCAGCCACACATGGCGTGTGACCAGGACTGCCATCCCTTGTTCTGGGGACCGTCCCGCCCCTTAGGGCTGACCCCACCACGGCATCCCCCAGATCACTGGGCAGACCCAGGAAAGCAAGGCTGGGCTCCGGGGGCTACATCTGGTTTCCCAGCAATGCTGAGCACTGATTCCCAGAGGGCCTGCAGCTTGCACCAGGCTTGCCCTCAGATGCCCCGGAGGCAGGAAAGGAAACACACACGCAAGTTCTCACGCAGGCTCATCCTTCTCATCTCCTCTTAACGCACATCCTGGGTGCTGGGCAAGGTTCCCAAACCACACTGAGCACCCCTAGCAAGTGTCCACGGGCGAGGAGCCTGAACACACTGGAGAGAAGACGCCCTGGCCATGTGTTGGCACCCAGGGTTTACATCCTCAGATCCTTGGGACCAGAACAGGAGACAGAGCCAAGTCCCCGCGTGTGCCCTGGGCCCAAGAAGACCCCACTCGTCCACAACTGCACCTCCTCAGAAGCACCTGAGGGGGGTTCCCCTCCCAAACGCCAGAGCTCAGCCCTCGGTATGGCTGCCACAGAGCTCCTAGGGAGCACTGAGCCCACGGCACCCCGGGAGGCGCACCAGCTCAGTGAGAAATGAGGGAACGATGAGGTGCCCAGTACCCACTTCCACAGGTGTGGCCACCGCACAGCAGCCCCGCCCCGCACGTGGGATGCCCCCGGCAGCCCCTCTGTCCTCTCAGGGACGCCATCCACCACACACCAGCCTGGGGCCTCCCGTCTCATGGCCTGGACGCTGCCTTCGTGCCGACAACACAAGACTCTACTTGCCCAGCCTGAACTTCGCTTCTGCGTCAGTTCCACATCCCTTACTCTGAGCATCCTTCTCTGGACGGTTCCACTCTAAATTCAAACTCAATATGACTAAAATCAGATGCAAACCCACCTTGTCCCCCAAACCGCATGCTCTCCTCACTGCGGCACTCTCCCAGACCCCGGCCCAGGGCCGGGGTGCCCCAGATCACTCTGGCGGCACCCTGCTGGGAGAGAGGGCCTTCCGAGCATCCCCCACTCCCGTGCTGACTGGCTCCAGTTATGCTCCCGCCTCAGTCCGAAAGCACCTTTCACCTGTGGGAAGGCTCTCACAACCCCTTCTCTATACGAGCAGTCTAAGACTGAGTTTACAACTTTCATCACAAACGGAAACAAATGGTTTAAGACTGAAGACTGCAAAAACTTTCCATAAGGATTGTCATGCTTCTGAAAAAGAGTCAAATTCAATTGTTTATAGGATACTTAACAGTCAAATAAAAGTTAGAACACAAGCACTTAATCCTCCCAAATATCTAAAAATTAACATTAAGTGTTGAAATTCTAAGTAGGTTTGAAACTAAACAGCGTGCCTCTGGGGGTCGGTGCCCCTAGGCCCAGGCAGGCACAGCCTAAGGGTGCGGCCAGGCTCCCCAGAGCTCACGGCCCGCCAGGACCGGGGTCCAGGAGGTAAGCCAATGCACGCACGCGCACAGCTGGGGTGTTCATGAGACAAGCTGTGTGCAGCTGAGAGGTGCCGCCGGTGGGGTGTCTACAGGCCCTGGTAGACCCTGAAAGGACAAGACCCACGGTCTGCCCACCGTGGAGCCCAGCATTTACCTGACAGATGCTGCCATTATGTGGGTCTCATTTTGGTTTGGGTAGCTCAGTGCCTGGGAGGTGGAGACGCCCCGAAATCCCCCCAGCCTCTCCAGGCAGTCAAGGGCCCCCAGGACGGAGAACACGCCATGATCACTGGGGGCACAGAAGGACCACCTGCCTCCAATCAGACACCGCTGCACCACTAATCAGCACTTCACACAGGAGGACCCAGGTCCGAGACTCTAAGCCCCTCCTTCCCCAGTGTTTCCACGGCCAGCATGCCCTCGGGCTCACGCTCCAGCTCTCTCCCCGGGAAGTGCGACATGGGGGCGAGCGGAGGGGGGGCATTAGCAGTGCCCTGGCCACACTGCTCACAGCAAAGTGGCTCCTGAGAGTCGGGACAGTGGGTGGGAAGACGCTGTGGCTTCCCCAAGCACAACCCTCCTGACTGGGCACGACTGGTGGGCACCCTGGTCGCTCGGCCTGCGAGCCTGAGAGATCCGGTTCTTTTAAGGCTACGGGCCACTGAGCCAAGGTGGTGACTGCGCCTGCCAACAGGACCTCACACTCTCGTGCCTGTCACCTGGGGAGGGCGTGGCACAATGAACTTCTCGCCCGTGTCCTCCCAGGTGGACGTAAAACCAGGTTGAACCCAGCTGTCCAGCTGAGCCTGAGACGATGCCCAGGAGACCATGCCAGGAAACAGGGCACCAGGAACAGCCAGAAAGCAGAGCCAGCCCATGCCTGTGCCCGTGGCCCACCAGCCATCTGTGGCCGCAAGGAAGGGGCTCCCTGCCCCCTTCCAGGCAGCTCTCCTGTGAGAGGAGGAAATCAGCTTCCCTTTCCAGAAGGGTCAACAACGCCATCACCCCAAGAACACGAGACGCCCATCGGGCAGCACCAAGCGAGGCCCGGAGTGCAGCCGGCCTACGCAGCTGCCGCAGCCGCGGGAGCACGCGCACCACGAAGAGGCGGTAGTCAGACTTGCTCTCCACCACAGGGTTCAGCCAGAAGTGCACTTCCGCGAGCTCCCTTAAGCAGTGGAGCCGGATGACCTCCGCCAGCGAGGAGATGCGGTTGTAGTAGACGCTGAGACGCTCCAGCGCCGCCAGGTACTCGATGCCCTGCCAGGACAAACACGGCAAGACAGCCATGAACACGAATCAGCCCCCAACCTCACAGACGCGCCCGAAACGCACACGCACCATCACCGGGAGAGCAAGGCGGGTAGGTATGCTCAGCTGGGAGTCCTGCGCCCCCATGGTGAGACGGCCGCGCGAGCCGACCGCGGGGAGAGGACAGCCGACGCCTGCTGTGTGGATGAAGAAGCCGACAGCTGATAAAGGACGAAGGGTGACTGTTATGCACACATTCGTCTTTCGCGCCTTATCTTACTTCCTTTACAGATACAACCATCTTCATCAGGGACCTATGACTTCCTGTTAAAGTAGTTCGAAGACATAATGTGATGCATAAGAAATCCAGCTCACAGCAAACACAAGAAAATCAGCACAAGACTTACAATCGCTGTGAAGTGTACGGCTTACAAGTACTATAAGCATAGTCATAAAACAGACTGCCTTATTTACCATAAATGTACTACCCACTGCTATTGACAGCAATACATTTTCTTTCAAGAAACAAACCTAAAACTTACCTCTAGACTAACCAAGGAGTTTCGTGAGAGATCTAGAGATTTTAGACCTGTTAAATTCATCGAAGAATTTCCTCGGTGAGTAATCTTTTCTTGGTAAGTTCCAGGAATAGATAATGACCGAAGTTCAGCTAAGAATAGAAAATTAAGAGATTTTAACTTTATTATTTTATTGAAAATAAATTACTGCAATAATTTATTCTCCCTCCAAAACCCTCTCACCAGGAAACCCTCCTAAGGGGGTTCCCACTTCCACACCTGACTGCTCAGCCCCATTGCCTATGGGCCTCTGTGCAGGGATCGCAATCTGAAACCCACTCGGTAGCTGACCTGACCACCCGTGCTGTTACAGGTGAGGGCCAGCTGCACACGAGGTGCACGGAACACCTCTACGTGGCACACCCAGTAAGCAGCCGTTAGACAAACATCACTACAAAAGTAAGCTTCTGTAATGAAAAAGACACTGGGTCTGGATACACCAGTATCTTCCCAGGAACTTTTGTTTTAAAACACATCTTGATTACATATGAAACTGGTTTTGGGGCTTCCAGTTCCAGACAAGACAGAGGAGACACATTTCACCCTATTCCTCCCCATTTATTAGATCTAAAAACCCTAGACAAGAACACGGGAAGCAACTCTGAAGCGTGGCGACTCTGAAGCGGGGGGACTGTCTAGGGACCTGAAGAAAATGGTCAAGCACTGAGGGTTGGTTTTGTTCTGTCTCCTGTACATCCCAATCTGAGTGCAAGAGAAGCTGGCCACCCAGAAACACCCATTGACACCTACCAAAAGATACGGGTAAGCCTGCTGTCCGTGGTCAAAGGATCAGGAGGGGTGGCCTTGCAGGGCAGACTCCTGACAACCTCAGCCCCACTCCAGCCCAACGCCAAGGAAAAAAAAAAAAAAAAAAAAAAGTACCTCGTACACCTGGCCTCGCACAGTGGCCAGCACCAGGACAGTGTGAGTGGACATGACTACTGCCCTGGACTGGCTGTAACGAGGCATCTGCAGATGCTACGTGTGTGACAGGGGCCTGGCCACCACCTCAGCAACAAGGCAGCACCCAGGCAGTGCCAGTACTGAGTAACGAGATTTAAATAGGAAGCAGAGTCCCAATCAAAAATGATCAAGAACTAGGAAAATCTCAATCTGTATGAGAGAAAACAATCAATAGATACCAATAATGAGACGACAGAAATTAGAATATTATCTAACAAGGATTTTAAAGCAGCTGAGGTACAAATGCTTCAATGAGCAATTATGAACAGGACTGAAACAAGTAAGAAAACAGGGATTCTTGGCAAAGAAACAGAAGATGTAAAGAAACAAACAGAAATTTCGGAAATGAAAAATACAATAACTGAAAGAAACAAACAAAAAACCGTGGGAGCAGCTCAAGAACAGAATGGAGATGACAGAGGAAAAAATTCAAAGAGAGAAAATGCAAAGATAAACTGAACAAAATTGTCCTATCTGACCACCAGAAAGAAAACAGACTTTAAAAAAATGAACAGAGCCTCAGGGGCCTGTGGAAGAAGAAAAAGCAATCTAACATTCATGTCATTGGGGTCCCAGTGGAGATCCAATCAGAGTTTCAAGAAGAAAAGGAAAACAGTATGGCTAAAAGTAAAAAATTTTAAGTTAAAGAAATAATGGCTGAAAACTTCCCAAATTTGGCAAAACACATAAACCTAAACGTTCAAGAAGTTGAGAAAACCCCGAACAGAATAAAGGCAAAAACTGACACATCAGAATCAAACTTCTGAACACTAAAGACAATGAAAGAATCTTGAGAGCAACCAGAGAGAGAGGCATTACCCTCTCTCTCCCATGGCAGGGAGTTACTCCTCAGAAACCATGGTGCTGAAACCAAGGAAGTGCTCTCACATTTTTCCACTGCTGAAAGAAAAGAACTTTAAACTCAGAAATCTATATCCACCAAAAACAGCCTTCAGGACTAAAGGTGAAATATAGATTATTCTCAAGTGAAGAAACACTAAGAGAATCTCTCACCAGCACACCTCCCTAAGATAACTGCTAAAGAAAGATCTTCAAACATTAAGGAAAGATAAAAGAAGGAAACCTGGGACATCAGGAATGAAGAAAGAATAATGAAACAGGTAAACATGTGGGTCAATGTTTCCTCCTAAGCTATTTAAACTGTTGGATGACTATAAAAAGAAAAAGTCATATCATTACTGTGGTTCTCAGGCATGCAGGGGAAATGTCTAGACAACTAAATTATAAAGTGGGAAGATAATGAAACCTAAATGGCGGTAAAATTTCTATATTCACCTGACGTGGTAAACCGTTCACACAAGTAGACTGTGTTAAATCACATACTGTATACTCTAATTTGTAGAGCAACCACTAAAAAAGTTACACAAAGAGATACGCTCAGAAATATAATAGATAAATCAAAATGGAATACTAAAAAATACTCAAGTAAACCACAGGAAGGCAGGAAATTGGAAACAAAAGAAGAAAAAACAAAGGGAACAAACAGAAAAAAAATGGCTAACTTAAGCTCTGCTGTATTAACGCATTAAATGTAAATGGTCTAAATACACTATAAAAGATAGGGCTTGGCACTGTAGATTAAAAATGATATACAGTATACACTGTCTACAAGAAACTCATTTCAAATATTATGATATAGGTAGGTTTAAAGGTGAAATAGCACATAGATGGGTAAAGACATACCCTGCAAACACCAAACCAAAGAAAGCTGGAGTGGCTACACTAATATCAGATAAAGTGGATATCTCACTGTAGAAAATTATCAGGGATAAGGAGGAATAATACTACATATGCTACAAGGGTCACCCCAACAAGACATAAAAATTCTAAATATGTATGCACCAAATAGCACAGCTGTGGTGCATACATATTTAGGATCTTTAAGTGAAGAGAGAAATAGACACATCCACAATTAGAGTCAGGGGTCTCAATACCGCTCTTCTGGGAATTAAGAGAATACCT